TCGTCGCTATGTTACTTCCCATAGCACTAGTTACGGGCGGACTAAATACTGGGGCTGCCCCGGTATGAGGTGTCCGGAAAACAGGCTCTTGCCCATTATGAGCAATGCTGTTGGGGGAGAAGTTTAGGCGTCCGCGAGGGAACGTGGGTTCGGTGAGTCGATCTCGAAAGGCAATTCCTGAGCCTTGGCGTTGTGATGGTTGAGTTGTCTCGGTCAGAGATCTCGTCACCTCTTCGAACCGTTGCTGCCGGGCAGTTAGCTGTTGCAAGGTACGCTCATTGTCCTGAGCTCTTTCTACCAACTGTACCATCATTCGGCGCATTTCGGATAGCTGAGCTTCCGAATGATGCGGAGTGTGTTGGCGTTGAGGGTTTTCAGGAGGAGTAGTTCCGGTGTTGTTTACACCGGAAGACCTCGCGTTAGTTATCCCAGTTCGGTTCGGTTGAGCGTTAGCCGGAGGCTGTTGCTCGGATCGAAGGTCAGCGGGTTGAGGTTCCGGATCCTGAGGGTCCGGATCTCTTCTGTTCGGTGATCCGTCGATCTGGATCACGGGATCCGGGATGGATGGATTCGTTTCCTGGTTGGATGGATCCATTCTCAAGTTACGGAGTGAAGGATTCAATTATCTCGTCCCCACAGACGGCGCCAAAAATGTGAGGGGTAAAACTCACTTCCTAGTTTAGGTTAGGTATAAATTGGGAAAAGATAATCGTGAGCTGAATCCTGTTGGAACTTGTATGAATGAATACGCTGTTTATATTGATTTTTGGTAATAAAAGAGTTTACAAAGATGATCTTGACGATCTGAATAGCAAGAACAATGTTTTATAAAGAATGACTAAGAACAAAGTGTATTGGAGTCTTTTTATGTTGAATGAGTCGAATCCCCTTTCTCTGATCTCTTCTCTTCTTTATATAGCACTAGGTCACGTCCAACTTCTTCGGCGAAGCCTCCATGATTATCTCCGTGAGTTGCGGGATTCGCAACAGCTTCCTCTTGACTAAGTCTTGCACGTTTCTCCGGAGCTGTTTCTCGCTAGCTGTTTTGAAAATGAGGTCCCGAATCTTTTGTTCGTGACCTGTTTTATCGATAGGTAACGATTTTATTTGACCCTCATTTGAGGGGAGGCTTCCTGACGGGCTCGTAATGCTTTGCAAACGGTTTCAACTATTCGGCCCATTAATTCAGCTAACGGGCTAAATTCGGGCCCAACACCTGCCTTGCTTCCTATTTTTGCGATCGGTTTCGAAATCGAAACTCTACCACAATTTCTAACCATAGATATGTGGAATTGATGAGTTTATTGAATTCGACATGGGTTTCTGTTATTTAGCGGCACTAAGCTCAACCTAAAACCTGGAGATAAAGCTATCTTCGGAAGAGGAGAGGGATTCATCACCCACGACTTAACAGTCTCACGCCGCCACGTCTCCCTCGAGTTAAAACCCTTCGCCAGCGGAACCGAATCCGATAGGGTTTCATTCGAGGTTCTCGGTAAAAACCTGGTTCGGGTACGGAAACGTGAACTGGGCAAAAAGATTCAAACTTTTCGGAAATCTGAGACGGGAGAGATCAAGGCCGGTGCGAGGTTTTGTGTATCGGTGCGAGGTGACAGAGCTTATGGTCATGACCATAGAAGACTCTGTGAGTAATGGAGGCGTTTGTGAACAAATTTGGTGCTCATGAGCAGAGGCGGCGGCGGAGGAGACAGTAGTGGTTGTGAACGGAGAAGGCAGAGAAGACACGGGAGTCCTAGGAGCTTGATGGATGGAGGAGGCTTAGGTTTTGGTTAATTAGGTCTTGATTTAATTTTTTAATTTGTTTTTGGTTTAACGTGTTCTTTAATCATTTGTATGCTGATTAATGGAGGAGACGACCTCATATGATACTTCATGATGGTTCCACTGTCGCTGTCAAACGTGCCAAAAAGGTCTTCAATCCTGGTTTTTTCTTTTTATTCTACATATACAGAGTTACAAACTCTCACACATCTTTATTTGCAGAGTTTGTACAAAGACAACCGTCAAGGTGCAGAGTTCATGAGCGAGATTAAGACATTGGCTCAAGTCACTCATTTGAGTTTGGTCAAATACTATGGTTATTTGGTTCACAATGACGAGAAGCTTGTGGCTGTGGAGTATGTTCCCAATGGAAATCTCAGAGATCACTTGGATTGTCAGTAGTACATTCTCTCTCTTTAAAGACATTTATGTCAATCACAATCTTATTTTAAATGAATCTGATAATTGTAGGTAAGGATGGAAAGACTTTTGACATTGCAACTCGGCTAGATATCACAACCGATATTGCTCATGCCATAACTTATCTTCACATGTATACACGTAGTTCACTCCATTTACATTATATTTCATTTCTTCCATGGCAATAATGATTACTTATTTGTTATGTATATAGAGCCACCTCTCATCCACAGAGATATTAAATCATCAAACATTCTACTCACTGACAGCTTCAGAGCCAAGGTTGCTGATTTCGGGTTTGCTAGATTAGCTTCATAGTGCTAAGATGGGATTGAGTGTTTCGAAAGTAAGGTTAACGAAGAACAACGTGAGAGACTTTTTTTGGTTGATGTCGTTACGGAATCTTCAGAGAATACGCCGGGGTTTCAGAGTTTGAGTTTCCTCAACTCGTGTTACTTATGCAGGAAGAAACTTCAGGACATATTTATTTATAGGTATAAATAAAGTAAATATAAGTATTTTATAATGGTTTTGTAACGCCATTTTATCACTCATTGATATATTTTTTTTATTTTTAATGCCTGAATTCAAAAAGCTTTTTGCAGCACTGAGGGTCGACCGAGTCATATAGCAAGTGTTGAATGGAAAGAGAGGTGTAGATCGAAGTTCTCACCCTCTCCTTACACCGACGGTCATGTTTTCTCAGCCGGAGTTTTAGTGACTTAGCCAGAGTTCTTCTTTTGAGTATATATAATATATATGGGGGGTCGGGGTAATAACATAAGAAGAAGATTTTCAAGACAACAAATGAAGACATGTATAATGGTACTTAAGATTGACCTAGGATCATTCCATTGCTGGTGCACTGTGACCAAGCGGTTGTAGCATCAAAGCTTTAGAGTTCTGTCATAGCTTATAACAGGCACAAATAAGTGTTCATTCTTTAATGTTGGCTTAACACTGAGGACTTGAGGAGGTATTTAAGCTCTGCAACCTGCACATACCATAAACAAAGAAAAACAAAAGAGAGTGGTCAATATCAGGAACAATGAATGATAAGCAGTTGTTTCTCTATAGAGAAGAAAGAATGTGTAGCTGGAAGATTGAGTCCCGTGGATCTCTCTTTTGTTCTTTTGACATATACGTTTTTGCTAATATAGTAAACATTTTGATAGAATCAGTAGGGAGATGACAACAGAACGAATAAGATAAGACCATATAATTTTAGAATAATTATTTATTGATGACAAAAAAAATTATTTATTTATTTTTATACATATAGATTACATGATGATTCAAAAATATCAATATAATTATTAACCAACTGTTATAATTTAGTTGTTTTGTAAAATTTATATAAATGAATAATACTTCAGAATATTATCGCTATAATCATTTATGTAATTTTGAGTCATAATTTCAATTTATTTTTAATTTCATTATAAGCATAATATATTAAGTAATACATAATCTTACTAAAATATATTTACATATATAAGACGACAAACAATCTAAATGCAATAATAATCAAAGTTTTAGTATATTTAGAAGAAAAATATTATAGTTGAATTCAGAAAAATAGATGCAATCTAAAATACACAAGTGTAACCAAATAGACTATTGACCAGAAAACAACCAAAACGATTAAATATAACATCTCTCAAGTCTTATATCTAATTAGAATAATATAATATTATTAATATAAGTTATACATACAAATATAAATTAATTTATAATTAAAAGTAAATATCTTTTTTTTTGAACAACCAGGATTTTAATTAAAAACGAAAAGGAAGACAAAGGTTTAAAGGCCCAGGAGGGTTTAGCCCAAAGAAATACAAGTAGAAGGCGAATGGGCCGAAAGGGCTGATCTAGCTAAAGCATCTGCATCTCTGTTCTGGGAACGAGAGACATGCAGGAAGGAGATAGAAACAAAGTTAGAGGAGAGGTTCTTGATGTCCTGGAGAACGCCATAGATCTCTTTGATCTGACTTTGGGATGAGATTGCTCTGATGAGCGTTGCGCAATCGGAGTGAAACGACATTGAGAGAAACCCTAACGCTAGGGCTTCCTTGATTCCATGACGAAGAGCGAGTGATTCAGCCATGAGGGGAGATGACACATCTTCGATGACAAGGGATCCTGAAGATGGTGCTCTTGATTGGTGATTTCTGAAGTGCCACGCGATTCCTGCTCGGAGTGAGGTCGCCTTCCATGCTGCGTCCACGAAGCAAGAGGGGGTCGAGAGAGGACCAGGCTCCTGCCGCTGACCTGAGTTGGGAGGTAAAGCCTTCTTCTTTATCGATATATTGGTGTTCTGAGCCTGATCCCACTCTAGTGCTGCTGAGAGTCCTTTTGTTGCAGCCTCGAGTGGGGTGGTCCCTTTTCCTTCAAAAATTAACTTGTTTCTTGCCAACCACAGGGACCAGCAGATCCAAGGGAGAAAGGGAACTCTAATCCCTGTAGGAGGGAGGCAGAACACTCCTCTTGAGTAAACCATGAAAGCTTTAAAGTCATTAACATCAGCTAGGTGAACTGGCGTGGTGATCGGAATGAGGTTCCACACTTCTTTGGCAAAAGAGCAATGAAAGAAAACGTGGGTCGCTGATTCTTCCATCTTACAGCGGGGACAGAGAGCAGCAGAGATCATTCCTCGACGCTGGAGCTCGACTCCTAGAGGTAATACTCCTTGAATTATCGACCATAAAAACAGCTTAAGTTTTGGAGCAGTTTTTACCAACCAAAGGTCTTTAATCCAGTTGAAATCTGTGATAGGAGGTTGAAGGGGAGGGGCCGGTTCCAAGGTCGTGGAGGATTGTTGTGCTTTTGAGTTGTATCCAGATTTTGTAGAATAAATACCAGAGTCCAGGGGTAGCCACACAAAAATATCTTTAGCTCCTTCATTGCTAGGCTTTAAGCATTGGATTTGTTTATTAAAATCTGGTAAGAGCTTATCGATTCTTTCTTTGTTCCACTGTAGATCATTAGTGAGTAGATCAGAAACCCTGAGGTCCAGAGCTGATTCATGTACCGGACCAAACGGTTTAATGTGTTCATTGAGAGAAATCCATGAATCCTTCCAGATTTTGATGTTCTGACCGTTGCCAATTGCCTTGCCTAGGTGCTCCTGGAAGAGATCTCTGCCGTGGAGAATGCTCCTCCAACCGTGGGAGCAAACGGCTGGGACCTGAGCATCGAGAAATTATCTCTTGTGGCAATATTTCCCAGTGAGGACTCTGGCCAGCAGACAGCTTGGTGAGGATAAAATTCTCCATGCAATTTTTGCAAGAAGAGCTTGATTGAAAATTTGAATATCCCTCAGACCAAGTCCTCCCGTCTTCTTTGGTTTTGTTAGTTTCCCCCAAGCTAACCAGCACATGTTTTTCTTATCAGGTGTCTTATCCCACCAGAACCTGGTTAGAGCAGATTGGGTTCTGTTGCAAAGGCTTAGGGGTAGGAGAAAACAGGACATTGCATAGGTAGGAATAGAGGTAAGGACAGCTTTGAGCATGGTTAGTTTTCCTGCCTTCGAGAGGAACCTTGTCGACCAGTTTGCAGCTCTCTGACGGATCCTATCGACAATAGAGGTAAATAGGTCTTTCTTCTTCCTTCTGAAATGCTCTGGAAGGCCTAAGTATTTGCCTACCCCCCCCCCCTCCTTTTGAATACCCAGGATATTTTTGGCAGACAATTTCACTTCCTCTTGGGGTTTTGCAGAAAAAGTGATAGACGATTTTGCTATGTTAACTTTCTGACCCGAAACACTTTCATAATCACGCAGGACTTTGGTGAGGGAGAGGCAGCTTTCTGGCGAAGAGTTGCAGAAGATCATAGTATCATCTGCAAAGAGCAGATGGTTGACTCGTGGGCTGCCTCTAGCAACACGAATACCTCTCAGGGATCCTTCCAGTTCCGCATTCCTGTAAAGACCTGAGAGAACCTCTCCTTAAAGAATAAACAGGTAGGGCGAGATTGGATCACCCTGTCTGATCCCACGGTGAGGTTTGATAGATCCATAAACAGAATCATTGATGAGATAGGAGTAGGACACCGATGTGATACACTGCATTATCCAGTTGATCCATTTGCTGTGAAAACCTAGGCGTTCCATCACTTGAGATAAGAAATCCCACTCTAGTCTATCATAGGCGTTAGACATATCCATCTTAACAGCCATAGTACATTGTTTTTGTGCTTGAGAAGTCTTGAGAAACTGTAGTACCTCATGCGTGATTAACACATTGTCTGTTATTGCCCGTCCAGGAATAAAAGCTGACTGGTTCTCCGAGATTATGGTGCCAAGGATGGGTTTGAGACGTAGGGAGAGGAGCTTGGAGATAACCTTATAGAAAACATTACACAAAGCTATAGGTCGGTATTCATCCACTCTTTTTGCGGTGAGATTCTTGGGGATTAACCTAACATGAGTTTCGTTCAATGTAGGTGGCAGGATNAGCTGACTGGTTCTCCGAGATTATGGTGCCAAGGATGGGTTTGAGACGTAGGGAGAGGAGCTTGGAGATAACCTTATAGAAAACATTACACAAAGCTATAGGTCGGTATTCATCCACTCTTTTTGCGGTGAGATTCTTGGGGATTAACCTAACATGAGTTTCGTTCAATGTAGGTGGCAGGATCCCTGTGGAGAAAAAATATTGGATCTCCTTTACGATCGAGGGGCCAACCACCTCCCAATTCGAGTGAAAGAAACACGCAGAAAAGCCGTCAGACCCGGGGGCCTTATCTGCATGGATTGCAAAGAGCGCTTCCTTTATTTCTTTTGGTGTTGGGTCTCGGGTAAGAAACTCATTCCATTCATGTGTTACACAGGGCTTGAGGGCTTCAGGGATTACTGAACAGTTAATCTCTCTTTGGTTTGCCGTGAATAATTTCTCATAATAGGTGCACACCAACGAAGAAATCTGTTCTACTTCGAAACACGGGATCCCATCATCGTTTTCCAAAACCGTGAGTCTGTTCTTTGCCTTTCTCGACTTTGTTACTGCGTGAAAATACCCGGAATTAGAGTCTCCCAAAGTCAGCCATAGGAGTCTGCTCCTCTTTTTCCAGTAAGCTTCCTCTGACAGGTAGGCCTTTAGAAGGAGATTATTAATATCGCGGATCCTATCTTCATTTGGGGAGTCCGTACTCATTTGATCATCCAGTTCCCCACGCAGGTCTTCAATTACCTTTTTGCTATTTTCATGGAACAGTTTATTACATTTGCAAATGGCACTGCGACATAAGGCAAGCCTTGCTTCTACTCCCAGATAGTCGCAGTTATTCCAGATGTCAGAAACTAGATCTTTTATCTCTTTTTGGTCTTTTAAACGTCTATAATAGCGAAATAAATTGTGGCCCTTTTTCCTTGAAGTGTCCAGATACGAGATGATGGGACGATGATCAGATCCCTCGAATTTGAGGTATTGGCTTCGGCAAGAGGGGAAGAGGTCCATCCATTCTGGATTACTCATAGCTCTGTCAAGACGACACCTCACAAGATGTGTGCCTCTTTTGCCTCTCCGGGAGAAGAGATTTTCAGAATGTTTAAGATCAAATAGGTCATTTTCGGATAGGAAGGTACGGAAATTCCCAAAAGTACCTTCTGCTCTCTCTGGCCCTCCTTTTTTCTCACTGTTATCTTGTAGTTCATTGAAATCTCCTGTTAAGAACCACGGTCCTTTGGGGTTGGCATGTAGATTAGAAAGTGAGTTCCAAACGGCCAATCTTTTTGTATGATCCGGTTCCCCATATAGGAACGTAGCAAAGAAAGGTTTCCCTTTGGAGATGATTTCCGTATCAATGAAATTGTTGGAGGTAGATAGGACTGTAAGCGCGATGTCTTTTTCCAACTGAGCATGAGACCACCACCTCCTGGAGTGTGGGGGGGAACAAAGCAGGTGTTATCTTCTTTTAGCCACGGGAGTTCTTTAATAATCATTTCTTCTGAATTCTTTGTTTCCATCAGGAAAAGAATGTCGGGGTCCTTCTTTCTACGAATCTCTTTTAAACGCTGGATTGTTATGAGGTTCCCAAGTCCACAACAATTCCAGCTCAGGACGACTAAGGACCCGGGAGCTGGGGAAGCCGAAAATCCGCCTTCTTCTTTGTCATTGCCGGTATCAGCTGAATAGGAGGGTTTCTAATAGCGTTGGAAGCCTCAGTAGCCACAATTGAGATATTTCCCAGAGGTAGTGCTCTATCGGGCCCCGCAGTCCTCGCTCTCTTACTGTTTCCTGGTGAGTACTGGATTTGAGAGAGATTTCTCTTCTTTGAACTAGTGCCAAGGAGGATATTAGGTCCTCCTCCAGGTGACCTCTTTCTTGATTGTCTAGTCGATATCCTCCTTTGCCTTTTTGTCTGGCTTTCATTGATAGGAGTTTCCTCCCGTAAAATAGGCCTTCGAGGGTTCAATGGAGGGGCATCGTCAGCTGTCAAATGAGGGAAAATGATTAGTGACCTGAGCCGAGCAGGTGTTTTACTATATTCTCTGGGGGACAGGAAGTTAACTTGAGCAGGAGCATCACTGTAGTATGGATCAAGTCCCAGATCTGTCAGAGGTTGAGGTATAGGGCTGAAGATTTGGTCCAGTCTTAATCCAAAGAGGGAGTTGTTTGCAACTGGACTTACTGATTTTATACCTCTCTCCCACGGTGAGAGTGATTTTCTCGGGGTTAACTCTGCAGCTAGGATGGAATCTGCTGTTGCATCCACTAGGCCTGAAGCCTCACTTGACAGGACACGTTGCATTCTAGCCGCAGCCTCAGTGGGGTTAGGACAGCTAAGGTACTGCATAGTCGCTGCTTCGAGGTCTTTCAGAACCTGCTCTTTTGAAAGGTATCTGACAGGGTTCTGAGAGGGTTGATTCGGAGGTAGGTTATTTGATAGGCTGGTTTGCGCTTTGAATAAAGCAGCTGCGGTCTCTTTTGTCTCTCCGCTTGCATCTCCGGCCCTGACTCTCTGTCTTCTTGCCGCGGCTTCTGTTGGGTCTGAGCAGCTCAGGTATGCTCTCGTTGCATCATTGAGGTCTCTTAAGATCTCTTCCTCTGACTGTTGTTTTCTCGAAGTGTGGGGAACGAGGGTATGGGACAGCACCTCTGTAGAGACCTGAAGGTCTGTTGAAATTGGTCTCCCCTCTTGTTCTGTAGAAATTCCTGAAGGAATGGGTTTCACCCTCCACTCTTTAAGCTCTCTTTGGGGGAAAGGGGCTTTCTTGTACCGCTCTCTTATAGATGTTGAATCTCTTCTTTTTGTGTAGGGGGAGACGTGTAAACTTGGAGCCCTGTATTTTTGGGAGTTGCGTTTCTTCTCCATGAATCCACCATGTCGCTTATGGGGGCTAGATCTTTGGGAGGAGGAGGGATTCTTGTTTGTTTCGTGGCCACTCTGGACCCGAAGCTATTTCCATGCCTGTCGACTCTTTCCTGGAAAGGTTTTGATGTTTGCTTATCTCTTCCGGAGATGATCAGCTGATGTTGTGGAGATTTTTCACCCTCTAGAGGGTTTGTGGTCCTTGTCAGAGGCATGTTGGAGTAGGGCGTTCTTCTTTGGTCCGATGTAGGTTTCTTCTCTTGGACTCTCTCAGCAACTTCATAAAGCTGTAGAGGTCCTAAATTCTCATCCAGGGACCTCGGGCAATCTTCCTTAACATGTGAGAGGGCGTTGCAAAGGGAGAAATGATTTTCCAGACGCTCATACTCTAGATGGATTAGACTTTCTTCACCAGAATCATACTCGATGATGTACTTCTTAACCAGTGGTTTCAAGCCATCCACAGAGACTTGGCTTCTAGCCGAAGTTTTTGTGAGCTCATGGTTTAAGAGAGTTCCCAGCTCTTTTCCTATATCAAACAACATGTCCTCGTGCCAAAAGTGAAGGGGAAGCCCTTTGATACGAATCCAACAGGGGATTTGTGACGGGAAGGAAGCTGAGATGATAGGTTCCCAGCGTTGAAGTATTACCATCCAGTAGGCGAAGTGGTAAGGTCTGTTGTCCAAAACTCTTTTCAGGTCTTCTTCTTTTTCAAATCTGAATTGGAAACAGCCATGTCCCAGGTCTGAACCTGATACTCTTCCAAGTAGATGCCATTTCCGAGGGAGAGCTGGGATGAGGGCCCATACTTTCTGCTCTGATGGGTTAGTGGTCCGACCAATGAGCGTGAGAGCATTCTCCTTGATGAGAGCAGAGGTGTCAACGCAAGGAGCCTTGATACGTTTGATGCTGGATTCATTATTTTCTGTCTGTTGGAACTTTCCTTTTTCTTCCTTTGTGTAACGTTGAGCCATTTTGAAAGGATTACCTTGTTCTGCAAGATATGAGGAATTCACCGATCTCTAATCTTTGTAATCGTTGTGTGCTTATGTGAAAAGAAACCAGGCAGAAACAGGGAATCTGAGGTCTTGAAGGAGGATTAGATTTGAAAAGATGCAAGGAATAACTTCGTGGAGGATGCTAGTTCCAGAAAGAAAATAGGGCTTCCAAAGGGAGGCAATGGAGAGACCAGAGGTTTCTTTCTAGTTTCAGCAAAAATTTGTGAAGTCACTATCTCACCTTACCAACCGTTGACAAAGAAAAACCTCGCCTTGGAGACTGTGCCTGGGAGAGTCCTAATTGCAATAATAAGACGACAAACAATCTAAATGCAATAATAATCAAAGTTTTAGTATATTTAGAAGAAAAATATTATAGTTGAATTCAGAAAAATAGATACAATCTAAAATACACAAGTGTAACCAAATAGACTATTGACCAAAAACAACCAAAACGATTAAATATAACATCTCTCAAGTCTTATATCTAATTAGAATAATATAATATTATTAATATAAGTTATACATACAAATATAAATTAATTTATAATTAAAAGTAAATATCTATCTAAATTAATAAATTAGAATATATTACAATATATTTACTTGATAAATATTCACACATGTGCATGAGCACGGGAAAATCACATAATATAGTAAAATTCAAAAAACGCTAACATCTAAAGAATTTAATACTTTTACGTATGACTAGAGACTTTCCCTTATATTTTAATTTTGTGTAATTTATTATAGAGTATATTTGATTACATATTCTATACTTAGACTAGATAATCTACCTACATCATTAAAAAATATTGAAATTTTTTGTATTGGTTTTGGTGACTAAAGTTATAAATTTATTAAAAAAAAATCTTTCAATATCAAAATACATATAAGCTGGTAACCATTTGTATTAAGAAATATATTTCAAATTCAATAGATCATTAAAAAATATACTAGATCTCAGCCAATAATGTCTTTGAAATCTTAAAATCATTACCAAATTTCTAATATGAAAAGATGGAATTAAATATACGAAAAGTCAATGTTGAATGTTGAGATTTATATTTACCTGAAATATTTATTTGGTCATTACGATATAAGCTGAAACCCCACCATTCAATAATCTCTTACAGAGATCTGAACATTCTCCACTGATCTCACATGCGTTCCTCTTCACTTTCTATTTTCGTCGAATGTATTATATTTTTTAATACAAATGGTCACCAGCTTATATGTATTTTGATATTGAAAGAATTTTTATAAAAAAAATTATAATTTGAGTCACCAAAACCAATACAAAAAAATTTAATTTTTTAAAATGATTTATATAGATTATTTAGTCTAGGTATAGAATATGTAATCAAATATAATCTATAATAAATTAAACAAAACTAAAATATAAGGAAAAAAATCCGGACGTAACCCAGGAAAAATCTCTAATATAAGCTAAAAGGAACGATACAAATCAACAGGCAAAGTAAACCACGAAAAACAAAAGAATTTCTTTTGGTAATCCTATTCGGCTATTCATAACTTTGTCGTCTGCTTAGAAACACTCTTTTCGTCAGTTCTCTTCTTCTCCATGGCTGTTACTTGGTTACTCAATATCCTTTTCCAAAGACAAAGATGAATTATACAGATTTCATAAGCAGGAAGCCTTAGATTTCTACTTAGTATATCTTGCTCACATCGGTCTCAAAAACCCCATATATTTATTTTCACTAGGACGGGAGAAAAATATTTAAAAAAATTTGTTCGATTCACTATCCATCTATCTTATTAAAATAGAAATACATATATGAAATATCTCTAAAATTTATCACTTATTTACAATACAATGCTACTGAAGTATTAAATATCCTAAATTTAAGCTATGAATGTCTTTTTCTAATTTAATTACTCTTTTCCTGAATTGAATTCTATAATAACTTATTTTAAACTCTAAAAAACTCTAAAAATTTAATGCCAACAAAACAAAACTAAACATAAAATAGACTTCCATTGTCTACGGACCTTTCATACGATGTATCTCCAGCATTACAACTTTATCAAGTTGAATTCCATTGTCAACAATACTTCAATTCTTTTTTTTTTTTACTTCAACTACTTCATTTCAAAAGATCATGCCAGTGTCTTCATATCTATATTCTGTATATGTGTATGTCATAATCATAAATATGTTTCTGATACCATTCAAAGTATCTATATTATTAAAACTGAATTATCTTTTGGTATTATTTGTAAATAAGAATAACAGAATAACATAATAAAAGAAAATTATTTGGAAACATGAGTAGTATATTAAATATTTCGTTTTATTTGCATATTTAACCATTACATTTAAAATAAATTAAATAATTTTCTTTTGTATTTCTTTTTATTTACAGATTCTGTAATTGCATTTAAAATTAAATTAAATCAAATAATTACAATGGTTTTCTTTTTTTATGGTGAAAATAAAAACACAAACTAAAATATATAATATATATTATATAAAATAATTTTTAAATATAATTTTACCTTATTTAATTTATTCAAATATAAAATTCTGAAAGTTCAAATTATTAGAAATTTATATTATAATATAATGTATTCTATTCTATATGTAAATTATAAAATATATATAAATATATTTTTTTATAAAATTAACCGCTTATAATTTTAAGTTTAACGCACGTTAAATGATATACCCGCACAGGAGTGCGGATCAAATTCTAGTTTTCATTCAAACTGAAAAATCCAAATAGTTGTAATACTACAAAGCAAACAAAATATTGATTTAAAATATTTAATAAACAAAATAAATCACAAATACTAATATATTATTAATAGATATTAATTCGATCTATTTCGTGTATGTGTATATATATATATATATGCATATACTTAAATACTATATATAAACTGAATAATTATCATAGATAAATTACATAAATATATTATTTTATGTAAATTTTACAATATTTTTATTTAAGAAATTAATTATTTTAGTTTTAAGAGATAAAGTTAGTTCGCCTTTATTCAGAGCAAAGTTCTTCATCGATTTAGTTGTTTCTCTACTCCTTTATCTAAGCCAACAATTAGTTATCAGTTTTCTTGCGGAGGAAGACACAGATTGGTTATCCTTGCTATCTCTTTGACATAGCCCTCTTATGTCACCCGTTTCTACACGCAGTGGCAAAGCTACATAGTGATGGGTGGGGCAGCTCGCCACCAAAATGTTTTTTACTAATTTTGTAAAAATTTAGTAATCTATCTATTGAAAATTAAATTTGTAAATGTATTAATAATCTTTTATACTTTTGTCCCGGATAAAAAATATTTTTAGATCAATCAATAAGTGGGATACTTTTAGATCATATTTTATACTTTTGTCTGCATGTTAAAGAGATATAAGTGGGATATAACGTGATAAACAACCACACTGTAATTATCATATAGTAGTAATAGATATAGTAGTAATTCTATGTAATCTTACATAATTGTTCTAACTGCCTATATTTTAAATATACTAATTAGGCCTGGGCAAAAAGCCCGAACCCGAAAACCCGAACCGAACCCGGTCCGATAAAAGCGGTTCGGGTCGGATTCGGATCTTGTCTAAAAACCGATCGGGGTTGGTTTTTTGGTATATCGGGTGTCGGTTCGGGTTGGTTATAAACCGAAAATCCGATTGAGTACACCCGAGACCCGACTTTATGAAACCCTAAGCCCTCTTTCCCCTTTTCGATACCCAATTGATTTCAATCTCTCTCACAGATTCTCACCACCCGAAATCTCTGTAACCTTCCTAAAGCTTTGATCTCCCTAAATATTCTCACCAATTTGTTTCCTTACTCCGAAATTTCTTCAAGCATCACATATTCTCGTATCTCACTCAATATCTTCGTCGATTTGAAACCGAAACCCTAATCGAAAGATCCTATATATATGTATCTTCGACCTAGTCATCTCCATATCAAAGCACAATTAATCAATCAAAGGTACTCAGACTTTTTTGAGTAGTCTCGATGCTTGTCTCATCATTTTTTTTTACTTTCAGTTCATTTTAGTTGTCTTGATTCTTGTCTAGCTTTAGTAGTAAAACTATTGATGCTCTTGTCTCTTCATGGCTTTGAGTGTTAATAAGATGCGTGTATTGATTTGTTTATGTTTTACTAGAGAGCTTGACTAGTAGTTTAGTTGATACAACATAGTGACATACGTTTGAATCAAACGGTTTGATGACAGTGTCTTCATCACACTATTTGTCTTGATGTTTTTCTTTATACAAAACTCGTTTGATGTAACTAAAATGTAATTTTTTTTCATCTTATTTTGCAGATGGTTTCCTCATCATCGAGACAAAGACAGACCAGTGAAGACACAACTGATGTTCAAGTGACTTACGAAGGACAAGAGAACCAAAGTACTCAAAGCCGAGGGAAGTCCACTGATGCAAATGCAACAAATGGAGTATCTGCTCAGTCGTTGAAGATGAAGAAAAATGTTGTGCCAAGGTCTGGTGTGTGGAGCCATTACACCCGAACCAAGGACAGTCGTGACAAGTGCATTTGTCACTATTGTCAGAAGGTGTTCTCCTGTGCCACCAAATCGGGAACATCAAACCTCCAGAAGCATTTGACCATCTGCAAAGAATACCAAACATGGTTAACCAGCCAAGGGAAGAATCAGACTCTGATTAATACAGAAGGCAATCTGAAGTGCTCAAAGGTCCCAGAGCCGGTTTTCAGACAAGCCTCCAATGAGCTGATTGTCTTAGCGGAATTGCCTCTTTCTTTTGTTGAAAGTAAGGCCTGGAAACATTTCTGCAGAAAGGTAATACTGCAATACCTCTTACCCTTTTAAGCTTTTCTAATATAAGTTTAACTTAATACAAGTCTAACTTTTCTAACTTTTCTATTGAAAGGTTAACCTTTACAAGCCACACTCAAGGAGGACTGCGACTCGAGACATTGTTGAGATGTTCGTGCAGAAGAAGGCAGCTTTGAAGAACCTGCTACGCACAACCAAACAACGAGTGTCATTAACAACTGACATTTGGGTTTCTCAAGTCACGGGTAATGCTACTCTACTTGTTTATTTTTTTTTTACATTTCAAAGGATTATTCTAACATGTTTTCTTGTTTGCATGGCTAACAGGTGCTAGTTATATGGTGATAACTGCCCACTTCATCGATGCTTCATGGCAGCTGAAGAAGCTCATTATTGGCTTCAAATACGTGATGGACCACAAAGGTCAGACGATAGCTACTGTCCTCTTGGAATGTTTAGCTGACTGGGGAATTGAAAAGGTATTCTGTATTACGGTCGATAATGCAACAGCAAATACCAGTGCCATTAGGAAATTCCATAGAGAGTTTAGCGAGGTAGCCCCTGATGCATTAGTTTTAGATGGTAATTACTTGCACATGAGGTGCTCTGCTCATATCATCAACTTGATTGCTAAGGATGGTTTAGCTGAGGTGGGGGATAATGTCTTAGCGATAAACTATGCTGTCCAGTATGTACGCTCTTCTACGCCTAGGCTGAATGCATTTGACCTTAGAGTTACTAGTGGGAGAATGAGTCGTGGTAGCTTGCCTCTAGATGTAAAGACTAGGTGGAACTCTACTTTTCTTATGCTGTCTAGGGCTCTCCAGTTCCGTGTGGCGTTTGAAAAGATGGAAGCAGAAGACCGGCTGTATAACGACTATTTTCTGGATACAGAAAATGGTGTTAAGAGGTGTGGTCCACCTGGTTATGGAGACTGGAGTGCTGTTGACAAGCTGAAGAGATTTCTGGTCATCTTCTACAACAGCACGTTGGTGATCTCTTCCTCATCAAAGGTGAACTCTTACAAGTGTTATGGTGAGATCGTCACGATAGAGAGGAACTTGACTGCACTAGCTAACAGTTTTGATCCTGAGCTGAAGGTGAAAGCAACAGATATGCTTCAGAAGTTTCTGAAGTACTGGGATGGCATGAAGAGTGTCAACAGAATGCTGATATTGGCGACTGTGTTTGATCCTAGGAAGAAGATGCAGTTTGCCAAGCTTTGCTTTGACAAACTCTATGGGAAGAACAGCTTGGAGTCTAAAGAAATGCTAGACTATGTTGGTGATCTTCTCAAGTCCATGTTCCAGGAGTACATCAACCGTTTCAGAGGATCTATTGGACAGTCTTCTCAGTCAACTCAAGCTGAGGTTTCTCTGCCTAGTCAAGATTCTCAGGAACAAGGCGTGGATAGAATGGAGCTCGTGGTTGAAGATTATGGGTATGAGAGGATGGATTGTGTGTACAAGGAGTTGGTTGCTGAGAAGGGAGATGATACAAGAGATGAGCTAGAAGTGTACTTGACGGATCCAGTTGAAACTCCGAAGCTGTTGCTTGGTGTTGAGTTCGACATCCTTTCGTGGTGGAAGGTCCACAAGCTTAAGTATCCTATTCTAGCAGAGATGGCTCGAGATTTACTTGCCATGCAGGTTTCCTCTGTTGCTTCAGAAAGTGCTTTTAGCACAAGTGGTAGGATCTTGGAGCCTTATCGAAGCTGCTTAACTCATTATATGATTGAAGTGCTCATGTGTTCAGAGCAGTGGATGCACGCTGATATCAAGGCAGCTGAACAAGTCCCTACAAACGAACAAATGCTTGCTGATGTGGAACTTCTTGACCTGCTTGAGAAAGGTTTGTGTTTTGTCTTCACTTTAGTTTATTTGTTCATGTACTGTAATGAATATTAACTTCGTCTCATTTGGTTTTTGTTGCAGAGTTTCAAGCTCAAACTCTTGATGATTGATGGTTGGAACGTAAAGGTTGGAGCATGAAGATTGGCATTTGCATTTTCAAGTTTTAAGTATTTGTTTTTTTCTATTAATAATGTCTCTCATATCTTGAGAGTTCAGTTTTTTTTCTTATAAGTTTCTTTGATTCATGTTGTTTACGAGAATATTAGTTCTCTGCTACCTTTTGTTTTTCTTCATATCAATAATATTGATGACTTTGTTTCATTCAAGTTGATGTTTTGTTTAATGGGATGAATCCTTATTTTAAATGTCATGTTTTGTTGTAAATTGGTTACAAATAAGTATAAATTGAGGACCGAAGAACCGATTGTACTATTTATAACCGAACCCGAAAGTATATCGGTTTTCACCGGTTTCTTGCTAGCTAACTCACCCCGAACCGAACCCGCAACACCCCGAACCGATCACGAACCGAACATTTTAATAAACCGAATGTGGCTGATTTCTTGGTATAAAAAAAACCGAAACCCGAATGGACTTAACCGAAACCCGAATGGGATCCCGGTTGCCCAGGCCTAATACTAATCTATTTTCCTCCATTTTTAAAAATTTAAACCCTATCACACATAGACAAGATGAAGGTTTAGTTTAGTTTTAATGGCTTAAAACTTAAACTAATATCAAATCTGTTAAACGAGTAAGTATCTAACCAAAATTATCCGAGCCAACTTTCTACTAAAGCTTTGGTAAATTTAAAAAAGACTATGAATCATGTTGTATTTGAATATTAAGTTAGGTGGATTTTAACTAAATTAATATTATATTAAAATATTAATATAAAAATAATAAAATTTAAAATAATATAAGAAAAAATTAACGTCTGATTAATTATGTTATTACAATAGTGAAAAATATATAAACGATTTTACAGTTGATAATTTTACTACCATATAACAATATATATATGATTGCGTTACTTCAAGCCATTTTATATTCGATGATATGTCATGCACTATATTTAAGATCTCTTATAATTTTTTTCTATAATATGTATAATTTACATTTTCTGGGATTTGAAATCTAAACTTCTCGATGTAAAAATATTTATGAACATTTACTCAAATTACCGAACTGAGAGAGTTTCCACTAACAAATTTATTTTAAACATATTTTTTTATCGCTGCATAAAGTGGAAAGAAATATCTAATTTGAGATAAAAGAAAAGCACATGCAAACACCATTTTTAGATCGTATTTTTTCTTTTGAAATTTAGGCCTTTTTAAAACAAACACCACACTATTTTGTCTAAAGAAGTTATAAACATGTTAGGATAGACAAAATTTATTTGGTAAATTTTTAGTTTTAAAATGCTTTTTCTTTCAAAAAATTAAAGTATTATTGACAGACCAGCCTCTAAATAACCCCAACAACAGATAAGTTCCGACCGAAGCCGCAATGTACAGAATCGTTTCTAAATATTCGTCAAAGAACCGAACCGCTTGACTCTTTGTCCCGAAAGGTAGTGTACTTATCCGATAATGAACCGAATAGAACTCGTTAACGCCACGTTTGTGCTTCAACGAGACGACACATGCATCTCATGCAGTGAAGAAGCTGGATGGCACGTGGCACTCTCATTCTCAACTCATCAGAGAGAACTTTGGACTTGTGTAAAGTCTACAAATACAGGAACCTTCACTTTCAACTCGTATCGTAAGATTGTCTAGCACAACACGCAAACAACAAAGACAAAACCTAATTTTCCGGAGCTAAACCGAAAGCGAAAGCAAGCTCGATTTTTTTAAGGGCCCTAAGCTTTTGATATAGTGTTACGAACACGTAATTATAGCGTGAGACGTTAATATAGTTCTTTTATTTAAGGATTACTTTTTTTCCTTCAGTCTTGTTTTTGCAGATTAGTGATACTAAAGGAAAGCAGAGATGTGCAGTTTGGCAACAAATTTCTTATTCCCATCGACGATGAAACCAGCTTTTACAGAGAAACAGAACACTCGCTCACTCTCTATTACAAATAATAGATCCTCAATAAAGAACAGATCTACTGTTCCTGTAAGAATCTCATACCCTATTCTTGTCAGTAAATTCATTTGATATTTTTTTTTGGTTATGGAACTTTCTAAATAACACAATTCCAGTTCTGTTATTTTAGGTTATATCCTCTGTTTTTGTGATTATATGCTGTAGACTACGTCTTTTAGGATATGAATTCGATCTATTAAAGATTGAATGTTTCCATCTTTTGAATGAATAAGGTTGCGAGATTATTTGGACCGGCGATTTTTGAAGCCTCCAAATTGAAAGTATCATTCTTAGGAGTTGATGAAAAGAAGCATCCATCAAAGCTCCCAAGAACTTACACTCTTACTCACAGTGACATAACTGCTAAGCTAACTTTAGCTATTTCTCAATCTATCAATAATTCTCAGGTAAATGAAAAAAAAGTCCCCCGCAGGATAAAATTTTGGGGTTTAGTGTTTTCAGAGACCGATGTTTTCTTCTTTTGTTTGTGGATCACCAGTTGCAGGGATGGGCTAATAGATTGTTCCGGGACGAAGTAGTGGCTGAGTGGAAGAAAGTGAAGGGTAAAATGTCCCTTCACGTTCATTGCCACATTAGCGGAGGCCACTTCCTTTTGGATCTCATAGCGAAGCTTCGGTATTACATATTTTGTAAAGAATTACCGGTGGTAAGATCATGTGGCTTCGGTACTGTGTGATTTTCGATATGTAATTAACAATGTTGTCCTTCTATTTAATTACATTTACCCTAATGATTTGTAGGTGTTGAAAGCTTTTGTCCACGGAGATGGGAACTTGTTGAATAACTACCCAGAGCTACAAGAATCTCCTGTTTGGGTTTATTTTCATTCTAACATCCCTGAGTACAACAAGGTTGAGTGTTGGGGACCGCTTTGGGAAGCTACGCAGCACAGCCATGATGGGAATAGAACACGCAAAAAATGTGAAACTCTCCCGGAGCTAGCATGCCCCGATGAGTGCAAGTGTTGCTTTCCTTCAGTTAGCACAATCCCATGGTCTCATCGTCATTATCAACACAGCAGACCGGATGAGAATGGGAGTTTTGTCGGTGGCGGGTTGGGAATTCCCATGCCCAACTCAGAGAGACTGAAGTGATAAATGTGTTTTTCTCTTTGGTGGCTAGGAAAGTTGGAGGAAGATGAAAGTAGTTTGTTTAGTGTTAATACTAAGTAGATCAAAGTTGTCCAACATAAGCTTTAGTATTGCTATCCTCTGTGTATTATAAATTTACAAAATCCATATAGAAATAGAAGATTTGTTTTCTTTATATGAAGATAACTTTAATTTTATCAACAACCAATTATAATAAAAAAGTATTTATAATTAATTATTCTAACTTATATATTTTATAATTTTTGAAAAAGGTATTTTTAATATATGTACATTATTGAGACAATTATCTTCATATTATGAAACTTGAAGCACAGTTTTAGGTGAAACGTTGAAACTTTTATATATCTTTTAAATTTTTAGAATATTACAAAATAACGGAAAAGAATAGTTAAAATGGACAGAAAAACAAAAACAATTCAAACAACTAACCAGTAACATGAGTTGACAAAAAAAAAATCAGACAACATGAATACGTGAACCAAAACAATTTTTAAATTAAGTCCTGAATAGTATAATAAAGAAGTATGTTTTCTTTTGTGGTCAACGTTAAAGTTTGTTTAGATCAAAATTAGGGGTTTTTTGCCAAAATTCACCCATAACTTGGTTTTAACCTCAATACTAGACCCTAACTTGAATCAAATGCAAATCTAACCTAAAAGGGCTATGAAATTACAGTATAGTGCTCTGTGACCAAACAAAAAAACAGAAGACATTTTTACGAATATAACCCCACTAAGTTGTCTGGGTCGGGCTGAGTTACTTTTCAGTCGTCTGGACGACTGAAATGTTAGTTGTCTGGACGATTGAATCTTAAAAATAATTTATAAATTCTGTACAAAATATTTTGATGAGTGAAAAATTAAAAACATGTAATTATAAACATTTATAAGTGATATAAATTAAGAAATGATAAAGTTGATTTGTTTTCAGCA